TACCCTGGACATTGTTTTTCCTATCTGTGAAAAAGTGAAATTTTCTTTGTTGAGTTCATTAGTGCTACTTAATATGGGTTCTTCCTGACCTTGTTCTTATAGATATAAAGCCTGAGGATGCTTCTATCATTGATAAAAAAATCAGCTTCTTTGCTCGAGCCGTAAGGAAGATATTTAATTTTTTTTGGGTAACATGACTTTTGGGCCATCCTGTATATTGATCTAGATTCAAAATTATTAGCATCATATCAAGAACATCGAATTAAAACTGATCAAAATTCTTTCACCTCCATCAATAATATTCGACGTGAAAACGTTTCCTTCAAACAACTGCAACGTCAATGTGCTAAATTAAGTCATGAATTAAAACATAATCCACCATCATGTGAATGGTATTATCGTTTCATGAAACGTCATAGATTATCTTTACAACGTACAAAAAGACAACAAAAAATTCCTCTTATCGATGCTTATAAACTTGTTTCTTCATTTCATTCTTATGTTTGACGTGCAAGCAAATGGGGTCCTCTAAGAGAGATCTTATGGGAGCCTTCACACCACGTGATATTTGTAATATAGACGAAAGTCCTCTTCAATTATTTGGTGATCAAGGAAAACGTAGTATTATTGATATGGGTACACCAAATGATATAGAAGAAAATCTTAGTAGCAAACGTTTTGCAGCGTTAATTCTTACGGTGTTTGGCCAAGTAATTCTCGATTCGGACCTATTCTTATTTTTAAAGGTAAAGGCCAAATATCGCCAAGAGAGAAGAGTCAATATGCAGAAGGTGTAAATATATTTTTTACACCAAAGAGAGTGATCAATGGTTCGACGAGGAATCAATATGTTCAATCATGGTGGTCTCAAGTATGAATAAGTTGAACTTATTTTAAAAATAAAAGTAATAGACTATTTTTTCTACTTCTAGATAAAAGATTCTCATCCAAAGCTATTGATAGATGATAGTGCTAATTCACATCTTAATCCTGATCTTATTCTTGATTTACGTAAAAAACGAGTGGTGGTTGCGATTGTACCAAAAGGCTGCACAATGTACGTACAAGTACTTGATGTGTCGATTTTTTCGGTTTTTAAAAATCATTACGATGATGTGGTGGAGGAATATATTGAAAAGAATGGACCTAGAAGTAAAATAAAGCTTACAGCATCATAATCACATATTCTTTGCACCAGATTTACTTCGTGTGCATGGATACGCACATTGAAAAGCGTCGATTTTTTAAAGCTTTTCACAACATCGGTTATATTTGGACAGATAGTTCACCTGTCTCATTTCGTTCAATGCCCAGTCATACATTTGATTTCACATCAGTTGAATGTTTGTCATTAATGAATGACAATTACGATAATGAAGAACGTATTGATATTGTTGTTGAAGAAGCTTCAGAACAACAACAACAACAACATACTGAAATTACATCAACCCAAATGAAGTAATTAACATTAATCAATATGTAGAAAAATAAAAAATAGTGGTTTTTCTATATCTTGTAGTTTTTTTCTTGTCATTTTTTTCTACATAATATATTCCGCCGTATTTTCCCAGGATATAACAATTTTGAGATATGAAGATTGACTTTTTATTCTTATTTATGGTCATTTATTAGTAAATTTTTTTAAACATGCGTTGACTTGCAAATATTTTTAAATTGGTCTGATATCATACGCGATCGCGCAAGACATTTGAACTATTTGCAATTTTCGCGTATAAATGCAGGTCAACAACATATGCATGCAAATAGAAATTTTGAAGCTTTTTAGTAAAACATGCGAGATTATGCATGACTCTGAGGTGTGCAGATACCTGTATGTACTAATCTTTCATACTCATGTAAGACATACGACTCGCATGGAAATGTGAAAGTATTAGTTGGGGGTACCTGCGAGATGACTACTAATAGATAAGTACTACTGGAGCTACCGCTTACTACATAAAAGATCATGGGTAATCTTAATATTAAAGGCATATAAGGACAAAGTGGTCCGTGAGATGTCATTTGGAGTAGTACTTTTTCCTCGAGGTTTTTGCACCATTTTGGAGTAGTTTGAAAACCGCTATGGAACTATATGAACATCGTCTGGTTACTGATGAACTCTGTAACCAAAAGTGCTGATTATCATAAACAGCCGGCTTCAATATACACGTGACGACCATTGACTATCTCAATCGGCCTGTGCACAGTATGAACAAATGCAATATGACAAATTCTACCAGAGCTTACTTTCTGACACCTTAAGCCCCCCCCCCCCTCAGAAAATCCATTTTTTGGTAAAGTAACCGAAGTCGAATTTTTATCATAGAAAGATGCAGCGAAGTTTCCTCTTTCAAAATATATATAAAGTTTTAAAAAAAGCTCAAATTTTTACATACTTTCGTAGAAGATTTCCTCCTCACTACCCGGTTTTCGGAGAGATTTTCGCGGTTTTGTGTTATTTTTGGAAAGACTACTTTTTTACTTCTATCAACATGGAATAAACATTCTTATATCATATTGTACGACCTGTAGTGCTAGCTTACACCATCTATTGCGTGCTTTCAAAAATTCCACATAAATATTATCAATATACCATTATTTCCTGCATTTGACTGAAAAACTGCATTTCTAAAACTTCTTTAGCGGTTTTCTCAAAACACGGTTTCCAAACAGGAAAATTGAAATAACTTCCGCTTGGCTCGGTGGTGCCCCCGATATTTTTTTTTATTTTAAAGGTCTTGACGAGAGCTAACTTTTGATCGAAGGGATTTTTGATACTTGACTCCTGAACTAAGAAAAGTTGGATTTACTGTGGTCCGTTGACCGTTTTTAGGCCTACTTTGAAAGTCATGTCCACTGAAACGCTTATAAAAAATGAATGGGAGGAGCTTTAAAAAATCCGGTCCGACGAAAAGTTGCGCACAGAGGCTAGCTTTAATTTGAAACCAGCCCGACCTCGATATCTCTTATAGCCATGAAGTTATTTCGATTCTTGTGGAAGCTATAAAACAAGCCGAAAGTCTAGTTTAGTAAGGTACATAAGACTGAAATTTTTACCATAAGCGTTTCTCACTACTACCACTCATTCCTGAAAATTTCAGCCCAAGTAGACCGTTTTAAGTGGCAAGTCGATTCTGAGGGGGGGGGACCTTAAGTCTTAGCTTGACATAGAAAAAAATCAATTTTCTTAAGGGCGTAATTTTCAATACTTATCGATTCTCGTGCTCTGTATTGATGAAGTGCTATTATAACTATGGTCAGTACTAGATGTATATTCCTCAGATGGAAGAACACATCGATGTGTAGCAGCCACAATACGATGAATTATCATAGTAGTAAAAAACATTGCAACATTCATGAAAGTGCTCCAATCAGAAAATTAAAACAACAAAATCATCAACATAGAGGATAAAAACATAGGCAGCGGGGCTCTTGGAAGCCAAATATGGAGACTGCATATTATGTACATCCATAATTACTATTCCTTGTATTTTAAGCTAAACATATGTTGAAACTGCATATGCATTCGATAGTAATAAGAAAAAAATCTGTGATTAATTAGAAATGTCTTATCTTTCACAATTCAGAGACAAGTGATATCGTACATTCTAAGAAAATCGTGATAAGCTTCTATTAGCACGAGCTTTTCAACATAAAATACAGAAGAAATGTGATCATAGATGGCACTGGTCTACTTGCATCCGACTGGCAGATCAGCTCGGCGAAGGCCCATCGCTTATCGTAAATATGGAAACACTTTTCTACAACACGGAAGCATCTCCCATTAATTTAGAACATATGCGAAACTTGAAAGTTAAATTTAATTCCGAAACACGCATATCTGTGGATGTAGATGCCACGGAAACACATACATTCACATCATTCTCGATGAGTGTGTCCAAATAAGTCATTTATAGATTATAGGCTTACGCTGGAAGCGAAATACAGTTAGTTAAATTCAAGTGAGAGTAGAACATGATTTAAATGTTTGTAATATTTTTGTAACAAGAAATGATATGACAATTAGGGATGCAACGATGACGATCAATGATCGCTCCGCCGTCGCCGTTTCACCGCTCCAAAATGGTGAACGATCAGATCGATCAACCGGTGAAACGAGGGTGTGGGTATTAATAAAAGGAAGATCCATGCTCACAAACACCCACACCCACCCACTCCCACACCCACCAACACCCACACCCACTCCCACACCCATCCACTCCCACACCCACCAACACCCACACCCACCCACTCCCACACCCACCAACACCCACACCCACCAACACCCACACCCACCAACAT